CTATATACAATGAATTTTGATAGTAAACCACCGCCTTGAGCGCGTGCTGCTAAAAGGAGAAAGGTCTACTGAGAAATCACAACTTAAATTGAACTTGATAATCAACTACCGTCACGCATTATGCGCATGAAAGCTAGAAGGGGAAAGAGCTAATGCGCGTAAAGGCTGAAAATTTGGTGCCCAATATACGTGGTCTCAAAATTGCAAGTCTTAACATAAACAGTTTACTAAAACATTGAATTAAGAGCATGCATGTATAATCAGCAAATTGATATACTAGCGATCAACGAAACCAAACTCGACCTTAATGAAACATGGACTTAATTTCCCTTGAAGGTTACACCTGGGTATCGAGGAATAGGAATAGATTTGGCAGTAGCGTTGGTTTCTACATATGAAATACTATTAATTTTTGGACTAGACTTGACTTAAATAAACAGGATATCGAAATTCGTACTGTTGAAATTAATAAATATAAAATGAAACCACTTTTTATCTCAACATGGTACCGGCCACCAAACTCTCCTATAGGCTTGCTAGGTAAATTTGAAAACGTGTTACAATTAATCGACATGGAAGATAAAGAGAGTACTATCCTAGGAGATTTTAACTGTGACATACTTGACATCGACTGTAGGAACCAAAACACGAATGAGCTTAACTTTATTACAAGTTTTTATCAATATCAACAATTGATTGATGAGCCTACAAGAGAAACTAAGTATTCGAAAACCTTAATTGACCACTTCTATTCCAATAAAAGAGAAAATATTGTTTTAGCAGGAGTTTCTAAAAATATCTATTAGTGACCACTACTTAATATTTGGTATAAAAAAGTTTCCATCCTTGAAGGGCGAGGAGCATATTATCGAATTTCGTTATTTCAAAAATTTTAACGAAGAAAATTGTCAAATTGATGATACTCAAATAGGAACTGCAGGTAGAGACATAAAATCTATTACAGAAAGCCTGGCCAATATTTCAGACTGGATGTCAGCCAACAAATTAAGTTTGAATAAGAGCAAAACTGAGTACATGCATGATAATTGGTTCCCGCCATAATATTAAAAAGTGTGCTTCCGATTTACTGATTGAAATTGAAAACACGCCTATTAAGTGAGTTAGCACCACTAAGTCACTGGGTCTGATGCTCGATGAGGCTTTGACTTGGCATTGTCAAGTAGAACTCATTACGAAGAAAGTGAACAGGAGTTTTTATGTTCTGAGACGACTTCGAGAGTTCTCTGACTTGAAAACTCTTGTTACAGCTTATAAAACCTTGGCCTAACCACACTTTGACTATTGCTCACAAATATATGGGGATGCCCTGGAATTACGTTGCAAAATAAACTGCAACGCTTAAAAAAAAGGGCAGTCCGTACCATTACAAAGCGTGGTTATGACTATAGGTCTGTAGACATACTTAATGAACTTGTAATACCAAATTTGAGTGTTAAAAGAAATAATCAATTATGGACTACAATGTATCAGGTAAAAAATAGCCTAGTTCCTGACAATCTCATTGACCTTTTCAGGAAAACAAACGCGGTGCATGACTATCAAACTAGACAGGCTGAGCATAATCTTTTACGACCTAAGCCAAATACAAATTTTGATAAAAAATCTTTTCATACAGAGGCCTAGGTGCAGTGGCTTGGAATAATTTAACATCCAATCAAAGAAACTCTGAATCTTTAAAGTGTTTCAAAAGTAACTTGATAACTGTAGTAATATGTCTTAGTGTGATAATTGTAATTTTCATTTCCTACTATATTCTATTATTATATGTGTATAGAGATTTATGCCCAGCAGAATGATGAAATAAAAATCGTATTTCACTGTGTTGGACGTACGATGTTTTTCACGTGTGAAAAAATGCAATACACTGTACGTTTTTGATTGGACGTACGATATTCTTCCCACGTGAAAAATTGTCGTATGTCATTTTGGCGGCAATTTGTTTACATTTTCTTTCAAGATAGCGTCGAAATATAGAAGTGAAATTCAAACATAATTCTCATATTCAAGATATTTTTACATTCAGCACATTCTCAAATCTTTCGGAAAGAATATCTAACTGCTTTTGAACAAAATTACAAAGAAGCTGAACGGTAATAAATATGTTTTGATGCATGAAATTTCAATTTTTCTGCTCGCTGTGTTTTTGTATACTAAAAGCGTGTCGTTGTCAAATTGATCTCTATACACATTTAATAAACAAATTACTTCATGGTTGCCTCGTTTGTACGATTATTATTATGAACTCGTTGTGAAGGATCGCAAACTCACTCGTTCGCTGCGCTCACTCGTTCGTATTGCGATCCTTCACAACTCGTGCATAAAAATCGTACGCACTCGCCAACCATGAAGTAATCCCTACTAATTTTATTAATACTTGCATATAACTTAATCCTAATTTCTAACTATAGACGTAAATGCACGGCCTATTGGAAGATCACTTTTCCCTCTTGTAAATATTTTTTTTTCTTAAACCATTGTGATATAGTGCCGTGGGTAAATCATTTAATAAAAATAATAATAATCCGAAATTGCTACCCTCCCACCGCGCTTGGCATCAAGCATCTTGAACCCAGTTTGCTGTGCTGAGTATGTAAGCCGCAGGACCGAAACCAGAACGATAATTTGGGGTGTTTATTCATACAACTAGGATTACAAATTATCAGTAAAAAGTTGCGAATGAATACACGTAGATAGTAACAGCAATATTGCGTGTCAAAAACCTTAAACTTGTTTATATCATGATAAAGGTGTACAATATTTTATCGCCGTCATGTGATGAGAATTCTCACCCGAGTTGAGATCGCACATAAGTTACATAAGTGCGAATCTAATGTATCACCTATGGTATGTGTGCTCAAAAAATCATCCTGACAAACAAAAATCGCTGAAATTGAGATGCACGTCAAGAATATAGGGCAATTATTATTTAGCGCGATCTCCCTGGCCGATTTCTCTCTGAGCAATTCCACTTTCAACAAAAATACGTCGGGCAGAACTTAGTATATGAATAAATACCACCAATTGGTTATTCGTTCTGGTTTCGGACCTATTTGTAAAATTTAAATACATATTTTTTGTAGAAACTATATATGAACGAAAAGAACCAAACTTTTGCATTTCAATTACTAAAATTTTTGAAGATATAGTTAAAAAGTATCACAATCGTAACAGTTTGTTTCACGAGTAAAGTGCTAAATTTCAGTACAAAGTTTTTGCCAAACGTTGTGTAATTTTTTTTTAACATAACCAGAAATTCAGGACATAATTACCATAAAAGTTCATAATGCGGAAATTTCGCATACTTTTTACGCGTTAATGATCTCCTAAAATGAATAAAGGCTGAAGACAGGATTCTGATATAGCAATGTGTATTTATACTTTAATTTATCAAGAAATAACAGCTAAACTAGTTAAATCGTTTTCTCTCAGACTGTGTGAAACGAAATGGATTTATTTTTGTATAAATATTTCCCTAATAATTATTTTGCATTCATAATTGACGTAAAGGTTTGAATTTTCCCTACTTATATTTATAATCATTATTATACCTCATTAAATCAGGTTTTCTCTGAATCAATATTTTATTTACTTGGTGAAAGAAAGATCAAGTTCCGCTCTTGTCTTTTCATTTAATTGAATTGAAGGCTTGAGTGATGCTTGGATCCGAAGGACCAGCTCAATCAACTGTTGTTTATTATGGTTTAACTGGTTGCTTATTTTTAGTAAATTTCATGTGAAATAAATTTCATGTATGAAAGGCCATTACCAAAAGAACGGTAGGTCAAAATCAAGAGTAATATGATTTGAGATATCTGGTGTATAGTATATAGATAAATTTTACTCGCGGAGAAAAATCACATAGAAACTATGTAATAAACGACTTTACTAAATAAAAAGTTGATTTATTTCGCTTATAATTTTCAGCCTTGCATCACTTTGATGCACGCAGAAAATTCGAATGTGATTTTGTTAACTATCGGTATTACAATAATTGTCAAAAATACGAGTAAATTTTTAGGATGGAATATTGACATCAGTATTTTTTATATCGTTTCTTTGCAGATTTAAACACTCATAGCTATGTATAGCAAGCTCTAAACATAAGGAAAAACTGCACAGCAGACACGAATGTTAAAACATCGCGACTAACAATCTTCAGTACTTAAGTATAATTATTCTGTGTCAATCTGTGAGGCTTTACTGCCCGGGCTTTTTTCAAAGAATCTTATAAGCAGTGGAACTAAGAAATATTGTAAATAAGTAAATTTATTTACCAATTCTTAATAGCAAAGATATCGGTTTAAAACCTTTTAAACAACTCGGGCAGTGGTCTGCATATATCACATATAACGACATGTTAAACTATTGCATTCTGACAGGTATAAGAGCCCAAGTCATAAAATATAAATGACTGGATTTTCCTTAGCACTTAGTATAATTGCAACTCTGCAAAATATTACACGCAAATAGCCCCCTAAAAATAGCTAGTATAAAACTACGGTGCATGTACGAGGATAATCAATATGAATTTTAGCTAAACATCTAACTTAGACCATTTATGCATATCTTTGTCAATAAAGCATAGATTTGCCCTTTCTCGTCTCATGCTCGCAGATTTCATTCTTAGAGCGATTATGCATAAGCGCGTTATCAAGCAAGAGACAGTACACTAATATTTTAAGTGTCGTGAATGGATTTAAACTAATCAAAATGCGATGATTAATCACTGCAACATATGATTTCTAGGACTTTTAACATGATTTATCATATAGACAATTCCTAGTTCTTATTGTTTCTTTACACTCAGATAGGAAGTTTGAAACGTAAGGTGACAACTTTCAAGCAAACTTCAGGCTTAATGTAGAAGATTGTTAGTAAAGGAAGGAAGTAAATACGAACCATTTTCGTAACTTGTTTTTGAATATAAATTGCACCTTTTTCAAACTATTTTGGTTAGTTTTGCATGAAAAATAACTTACAATTTCAAATGTCTCTTTTTCTTGCTTGATGATTCCCTTACTCACCGCGAATATTTCTGAAAAGTACATATGAGATCAAGTTATCATATATCCTCTGTTCTGCTCTGGTGACCCTGTTTTGACGATTAGTAATGAAACAGGTAGCTCAGGGTGTCCTAAAAATCGTGCAAACTGTTTCCGAAGTTTCACGTGACATGTAGAGAATAGTTTTCCTTAATAGGTCAGGAATTTGTAGTTTGTAATCTATTGTTTCTTATAGCTATATGAAGATATTCTTCAATTTTAGGGCTATAGTGTCGAAATGATTGGGGAAAGGGATTTTAGCGAAAAACATTGTGAATAAAAAAAATTACAATTACATTAAGAAATGTGACTTTAGTTAGCTATCGGTATTTCAATTATTTTGTTACCTATTCTTTAATTCCTAATGAGTTAAAAGAATCTTCACTTCAAGTTATCAGACTGTTACATTTTAACAGTATTTAGCATCAAATGTGGTATCAACAACTGCATAAAATAGATGAAATTACTTCTTCTTCTTCATATATAATTTATAGAGCTTGGGCAGAACAGCCTGAGGGTTATTGTTTGCCTGCTTAGCTAGGCGGAAAGTTTGTATTTTTTCGAGAAAGTCTTCAAATTATTTAAATGTCGTTTCGCAAGTCATTTTGTTAAAACATTCAGAAATCAAATAACAGCAAATTTTTTTTTATTATATTCATTTTGAAATCAACGATGTTTCTTGCAATCTCCCTCTACTCAGTGCAATTACCATTATACATTATAGCAAAGATATCGGTCACAAACCGAATTGAATTGATCATACTTTATACAACAAAGAGACATTTCTGGAAATGAAATGCAGTTACTTAGTAAATTATGAACGACTGACTCCGTATCGCGGCTTCATCATGAGCTACACGTCAACCTGTTTCATGACAAGCAAAACTACATGTTAAACTGTTGCATTTTGACAGGTATAACGTACATGCAGTTAAAGTCATAAAGTATTAACTACTGGATTTTCGTCTATAGCGCATGCGCATTTATCAGTTGCAAGTCCGCAAAATATTACACACAAATAGCCCCCTAGAAACAGAATAAAGTTACAGTGCATGAGGATAATCAACATGAATTTTAGCTATACATCTAAATGTGTAATCTAAAGTGTTTTTTTTTGTATTTTGTCGAAAACGTCTTCAAATTATTCAATTGTCTTTTCGGAAGCTTTTTTTTTAAAACATTCACAAATCAAAATGAGCGAATTTATCTATGATAATGGCAAAGATATCGGTCATAAACCTTTTAAACAACTCGTATACAGTGGTTGGCATACATCACATAATTACAGTAGAGCGCCAATTGTCGATGAGGTGCGGACAAGAAAGTGTTCAGATGTCCTCTGGATTTTCGTCTCATTTACTAATTGCCACTCCGCAAAATATTACATACAAATAACTCCCTAAGAAACAATAAAAAGTTACAGTGCATCAGGATAATTAACATGAATTTAAGCTATACATGTAATTGTGTATACCTGTGTCGATAAAGTGATTATAGTAAAATGTAGATTTGCCCTTTATCGTTTTATTCCGGCAGATTTAATTTTTAGAGCGACGATAAGCCTTAGCAGGAAAGTTTCAGTACAGTAATGTAGAATAATGCTTCAGTAAGTGTCATGAAATAATAAAAAATGTAATGATCAATCGCTAGAACACATGATTTCTTGAATTGCTGAAATGAATTATCATGGTGCAACTTGCGAGTAGCCTTTATGCCTATTGCAAAAAAATATTACTAGAGTGAAGGAGAAATAAAATCTTCCGAGTCATTTTTGTAACGCTTTCTTTAATATATCTTGCCTCTTTTTCAAACAATTTTGTTAGAAGTGCATGCCTTAAAAATACCTTATATTCAAATTCAATTTTTTACTTCCGTGATGCTTCCCTTGTTCGCCGCGAAGTATTTCTGAGTGCATATGAGTTTTATTATTCCGTATTCAGCTCTGGTGACACCAAACAATCGAAAAGAAAATAGATCTCATGTAACAGGTCATTAAAGGGTATCCGCAAACTATTTCTAGAGAAAATTTTAAAAGATCTCCTATAGTTAATTAAATCTATTGTTTCTTGGATATATTAAGATGTTAATATTCAATTTGGGGAAAATTACTACTAAAAAACACTGAAAATTACAATTACGGTTATATAAATTTGGGGTTATTATGGTTATTCATTTCTTGAGAAAATTATTGTTTTCACAGTCAATGAACACCGAAATATTTGTATAGTGGAACAAATCGTCAAGCTGGATAAGCTATGCTGCCTTTTTGGGGCTGCCTACATGAGCTTAGTTACTCGAGATGCAACGAAGCGTGAGATGATTTTGAGGTATTGAAATGAACAGATAACATGATCCTGGCAGTCGTATTATCGACACAACAATAGCATGTGCTTGTTTGGTATTTTAAAGACTTATTTCAATACCTCAAAGTCCTCCTACGCTTCGTTGAACCTCGGGTAACCGGGCTCATGTAAACAGCCCCTTCTCCGGGCTCCGGGTATCCGGACTCATGGCAGTGTTCTCATTTCTTAGGAAATTTCCTTAGAAACGCTCGACTCTATTGAGCGGAGGGAGGAATATTTAATATATTCTTTTCAAATGTTCCTTGTCTCAGATTATTCAAAACATCGACCCTCCCCGACAACGACCTGTAGTTTCGGCTTGGATTTTTTTTATTATTTTCCTCTCGGGTCGACCCCCAGCGTCGCTAGCTGCTGGCCATATCGCTCTAATCGGGAACCTGCGCACAGGTAAGTTGCTAGTTATATCACGTGTTGTATTCACTTTGGGCATAATTATTTCGTTTCACCTTCGAAGCAGTAAAGTAGAATCAATAAAGCGATCAAAATGCTAGCAAATGCTTTCCTCATCTTTACGTTCATTACACATGTATACAACTGCACACGCCGAACACAGCAAGCCTACACCGGCTATCCTAAGTAAAAGATGTAGAGCGGTTGTGAAATGGCTGTTCTGTGTCTCTCCTGCTTTCAACATACGACCTATAGTTCGGTATATTGTTCATTTTTATTACTAGAAACATTTACGACACAAAATTTGCATAGCTGGGCTGGCTACGCCGCTGTGAATGAAGCGACCATAACACCTAGTAGGCGTCTTGTTTAGTTTTAAGTTGGCCCTATTAATTTTAGAATTCAAACGCCATACTTCATGTTGCATGCTCATACGATCATGGTGATTGAGTTACGTGGCTATAAAACAACTAGCCTTGTCCATTTTAGATAGTTATTTTACCACATTTGATGCTAAGTTTTTTGAAGACGCTGCCACGCTCCTCCCTGGTTATATCAGAATAGGCTTTGTATTAATAATCCATATTTATGCACACCGACTAGATTGGATTGCTTTATTCTTGCTGTTCCTGATAATAATGTGTTTTATATGTCATTAATCCCCCAAAAATGCTTTCGAAGTGCATGATTACAAATTGTTTCCCACCTTCCGTGGTTAGAAAACTATTCATCTGTATTCTTCTAAAATACCACGTTTGTATAATACCACGTTTGTAAGTTTTTTCAAGCAACTAGAATATACACACTTTATTTCTGAACCAAAATCAAACAGCAATATGAAAAATTAATTAGCCTAGTTCATATTAATCTAACTCTCCAGCAAGCAACAAATAATTTCGTTGTTTCGAGTGGGATTTGAGATCACATCTACGGGTGTCTAGACCGCTGTTCTAGACCGCTGAACCCTTTTTTAAGTAAAGAGTTTAATGAAAGAGTTGCGAAATCACCAATGAGTAGGTTGCTGATTAACAGCTTCCCTCGTTAAAATTTCGCGCATGCGCATAACTAACAAAACTTCATGATATAGAATTTGTACAACTTTGGACTCCGCAATGTAATGCAATACCCGGGTGTAATTCCTGATCTTTGTGTTTGCAGTATATTAAATCTTAGTATTCCTAAATTGACGATCCTCTTTAAATATTGATGGTTGCAAAACTGAAATTTTATTGCTTTCAAGCAATTTTTTTACGGTTAAAAAAATCACTATCCGGTGGATAGCGCTATCCAGCCTTTGCATAACCGGCCCCAGGATTTAACTATATGCAAAATATAGTTACGAGTTTTTTATAGTCAACTCCAGCACATAATAAATTATAAGACTAAGAGTAAATTATAATTTAAGAAGAGCTATAATGTTTATAATACAGCCGGTTTGACATTATAAAAGTGTTTCTGCACGATTGATTTTCCAGTCCAAGATTATAATATGTCTATTCTCTCGCACATCATATTGAACGTTAATTGAAGCAAGCTATAATTTAACAGTTTGTTTGCGCTATTATTAATAATAGAGTTATTGACGCCCTTGACTGCACCTGGATCTGAAAACTTACCAAATAAATATATCCTGCGACATGTTTAAGGACTTTCATTAACTCATGTCAATAATTATTTTCCAACTAGAGGCGCTTCCCAAAATAATTAGAGCGGTAATAATTTGATTGAAATCGTTAAAAATATTGCGGTAAAGCTGCATTTCCCGCGCTAAACGGATGTAAATATCAATAAACGTGAATGCAAAATACCCGTATTCTGTGGCTGTACTGAAATACACCAAGACCGGTCTGGCCGTTTTTACCGTATAAAGAAAAGCACTCTGGGATTACTAATACTGCCAGCAATATACTTGATTTAGTTTTAACAAAATATTCCTGAGCGGGTTCACGGTTTATGCACATTTGATTGTCAACTTAATACAGACCATGTTGGATTTTCTTTCTTCGTGAGAACAATAATGACACGGGTAAAACAGTCACGTTACGTTTATAACTTTAATCAAGCTGGTTTCACCGGATTGTGGACATTGGCCTTAATAGTAATAATATAATTCAATGTTGCTAAAATTGGAGAGTTACAACTGTTGATATGTTCACCCTTAAATTCAAGATCAGTGATGCGAGGTCGCCTAAGTGGATTGATGGGGAAGTTATCACTCTTTCCAAGCGAAT